AATTGAACTTCAAATTAAATCTAACAACATCATAACAAAGATGAATGATTCAAACTAAACTAAACAACTCGACATTATGAACACACTTGAAAAATTCAAAAAGCAACAAACTTAAAAAATACATGAACACAAATTTTCTCCAATACAAACAAAGAACCGGGTTCGAATTCGAACCATACCACTGGAACACAAACACAAGGAGAAAAGGAACGGAAGATGACTTCACTGAATGAAAACTAAGAGACAAGAAAAGTGGAAACCTACTAGTTTGAAACTCGGATTAGAACGGAACCTCAACGCGCTAGTTGACTGGAGTTAGAAGCAGAACGATGGGGTTTGGTTTTGAAATAGCTGCTCGACGTCTTGGCTCTAATGAACGGCAACTGTGATAGATTAAAGAGTCAACCAGCATTACGATGACGAAGACAACGTCCAAAACCAAATCATGAACATAAGTTTCCGATCGAAATCACGCAGAACTTGACAACCTCAACTGGAACAAACAGATGGAGCTTCGGACAGGCCCTCAAGAAACTGGACAGGTTTTGATCTTATCTTTACACATAAACCCAAACGGCAAAGTACTCTACGGACTCGCTGCTGCTAGTTGTGTTTCCATTCGCCGGTGATAAAGTCCGGCAAGGCAGCAAATCGAGCGACGGGGCTAAAATGGGGAGCGAATGAAGCAGCCTTTCTTTCTTTTCGTGGAAATAGCTCGATCTCCATGGAAACAGCTTAGGCAGTTGTTTCATGCAGCAACAACGGTACAATAGAGTCGTTTGGTTGAAGATAATGCAAAAGAAAACAGTAGGTGACGGGGTGGAGAAGAAGACGCAGCAGCAGCCATGGGTGTCGAGCTCAAGCTCGACGCCGGAGAAGATGAAACAGTAGCCATGGGGTCTGTTTGGACGTAGCAGAGCTGCTGGGAAACGACTGAAGAAGATGAAGTAGCGGACGACGACATGTTTCGTGGTGGAGCTTTGGTGTTGAAGGATTGTGGTCGTTTGAGGTTATGTCCGGCGGTGAGGGGGTTGACTTAGGTGGTCCGACGACGTGCGTGCGCTTGTGTGTTGAGGGTGAGGGGGGCAGCAGCTATGGTGGCTGCTCGTGTGGAAGGGGAGGCAGCCATGGTTGGCTAAGGTTTGGGGTGAAGGTTTTGGAGAAGAAGAGAGGGGTGGCGGATGGGTTTTGTTTAGGTTTAGGTTTTTTTGTTTTGTCTTGTGTAAGATAGGGGGTGTTGGGTATTTAGGTTATCGACCGGGTCATGGGGAAGGTTGGGTATTCTTTGGGCTTGTGGCTTGAATTTGAAGAAGAGCCCAATTCCGATTTTCTTTATATTTTTGCTCTCTTTTCTTCTTTTATTGTTCTAAAACTAAATTCTAAAAATCCTTAAATTATTATTAAGTTATAAAATCGCAAATTAACTCTCAATAACAATTAACGCACAATTAAGTAATAATTAAGCATAAAATTGTACATTTGGACATTAAATGCTAAAAATGCAAAAAATGCCTATTTTTGTAATTTTCAATTTTTGTAAAACAAACTTAATTACTAACAATTGTAGAATTAAATCCTACATGCAAAATGCGACATATTTTTGTATTTTTTTATTAATTTAACAAATAAACATGCACAGACAAATATAAATAATTATCCAAAATTGTCACAAAAATTCTCAAAATTGCACACCAAGGAAAATCATTTTATTTTGAATTTTTTGGGAGTAATTCTTTCATATGGCAAAAATCACGTGCTTACAACGAGTACGTACTTGTGCAAATTATTGGAAACCCGATTTTCTTAAAGTATTCATTATCATGTTTCTTTTCCTACTTTTATTACTTGCACTGTTAAGCCTGTTGTTAGCTTCGAAAAGTATGTCTAAGTGATTTAATTGCTTTAATTGTTCAATCTGTTTATCTGAACTCTGTGCAGCATGCTAGGGTAGAGTTATTTATTGCCTTAATATGAAATTTCCTTCACTGAATATTTTCTTGTTGCCGCTGTGTATTTACATTGGGACTACGGATGTGGGATTCCGGTAGCTCCCCCTTGTCTATTTACTTTGGGACTGCGGGTTAGATTCCCGATAGATCATCTTGCACATTTACTTTGGGACTGCGGGTTAGATTCCCGATAGAACCCCCTGCACAGTTATATGGAACTACGGGAATGCACCCGGTAGATTTTCCCAGTATTGGGTATTTATATTTGGGGACTACGGATCGAGATTTTTGGTGGATGCCCCGCGCATTGATAGTTGGACTACGGGACGAGATCCCGGGAGATCCTTCAGACATATATATGATGGACTGCGGGATGAAATCCCGGGAGATCCTTCGGACATATATATGATGGACTACGGGACGGTATCCTGGGAGATCCACTGGATAGTTGTAATTGGGACCACAAAACGGTATCCTGGAAGGTGCCCCAGTTGTTATCTCTGTGTTGAGCTGTATTTCTTTCCGTGGTTTGTTTATCTCTATACCAGTTGTTGTAGGTTCTTTCGATTCTATGTTATTTCGTACTGTTGCACTTATTTATACTGTTTTATTCAACACTGTTAACCTTTATATTGTATTTAACCTCAGTAGGGCCTTGACCTTCCTCGTCATTACCCGACCGAGGTTAGGCTTGGCACTTACTAAGTACCGTTGTGGTGTACTCATGCTCCTTCTGCGCATATTATTTATGTGCAGATCCAGGTACTTCTACTCAGGCCTACCATCCTTGAGGAATGCGACTACTTAGAGACTTTGAGTACATCTGCCGCGTCCGCAGACCGAGGAGTCCCTTTCTATTCCTGCTTTCTAGTATTTAGCCCTTCTGTACTTTCGGTTCTTATTAGACAAATTCCGGAGTTTGAGCTATGTAGTATTTCTTTTTCTTAGCTTTTGGATCGTGGGTTTCCGGGTCTTGGATTTGGATATTGGTTTTGAGATTTATATATATGGTGTATGTCGAGCGGCACATTTAAACACTACTATTACCTTATTTATGGTTTTTAAATTGTTTACTTACGCAAATTTTGGTTTTCTTCCGCAATTTAGGCTTACCTAGGTGTAGAGACTAGGTGCCGTCACGATGGTTCACTGAGGACGAACCGGGGTCGTGACAGTAATCCCTGGCAGTGGTTCATTTTTCCCTTTTTAGCACCTTTTGACTTGTTTTCTTCTGTATCTTCTCCAAATCATATGATACCTGAAATATTCCAATAAATCTCAAAAAATGCCTTAGTTTCTCAACAAAATCATACAAAATCCTAAGTATTAAGAGGAGATAAGTTGGTAAAATACCAACTTATCATTCACCACCAACGATATACAGCAACAATGATTTTTAATGTTGACATAACTCTCTCTAACTCTTCATATATTTTGTGACACTTTTAGACTCAAGAATACAGTATCTGTACTAAGAACTTAAAAGGCTTAGAAACAGATTATGTAGTTGCGCGCCTTTGAATGTTCTTCTACTTCTTCCTTTATAGCTTGATGAGTCTTCTGCTTCCTTGTGTTCTGGGATTGTATTGAAGCAATTCTAGAAGTCCTTTCCATGTGAGGCATATACATCTAAGATAAAGACCCAAGGGTAGCCTCATGAATCTAGCTTGAAATGGTATCTAGATTCATCTTTATTCTTAACGAATTGCTTCATTCATTCCTCCTTGATTTGAGATAATCTTGACAAATGGCTTCCTTCATTCCTCCTTGATTTGAGATAATCTTGACAAATGGCTTCCTTCATTCCTCCTTGACTTGAGCTTCTGCAGAATCTTCTAGATTTGATCTCCGGCCGTGATTAGCTCTCTTCCCATTCTTGCATATTTGAGAATCTTTAACAATGCTGATTGATTGACTTTCCTTCTTTGTTCTTGGGCTGATTGATTTATTTTCCATATATAGCCAAGTTCAAAATACATAGCCGTTGAATAGGATCTTCTTTCCTTCTATCATCATTGTTTCCTTCTTTCCTGCATACAAGAATATATCATTAGTCAAAGCTTCTTTTGGATTATTGATCATTATTAAAATTCTAAACTTAACAATCTCCCTTTTTGATGATGATCTAAAAAGTGTTTGAATAATTTATGGGTACTTCCCTTTTTCAAGTGTGCTCCCCCTGTCTTGAAGCTGGTTCTTGTATGGTTACTTCCCTTTTTCAAGTGTGCTCCCTTTGTCTAGAACATGTACTCTTTTTCTTTCTTCTCCCCCTTTGATATCAATCAAAAAGAGCAAGAGAAACAATTTGTAATAATAGTACTAGATAAGAAGGTAAAAATTATTTATAGCTAAGCAGTTATAGTGAGCATAGTCGATGACATACTCAATTAAAACACAACCAAAAGAAATAGTCTTAAAACCACCAACAAAAAAAAATAAAACATGGTCTTAGGCATCCTAGACACTTAATTCCTTCCAAGGAAGTATTTCAAGGTGTTGATCACTTTAGTGCATAAACTGTCATAAGAGGCATCAATATCTTTGGTGACTTTGGTCAGCTTCTCAGTGACATCCTACACAGCCCTAATCCCTTGCCTCCTTGTGGCTTGGAGAGTGATCCTTAGCTTAGCCACGTCTTCTCTAGTTTCCTTGGTTACTTCCCTGATTTTGTCCACCTTCTCCTGTATAGAGGTTAGTAATTCCTTGATACCTACAATGTTTTGCTGCATCAACGTCAGCTGATTTGAGGAAGAGGATTTGCTGGCTTCAAATTTGATCCCTCCAATGCTCTGGGTAGGAATGAACTCTGGTGCTTTGTCTTTCTTAAGCCATGTTCCCTTAATCAAGACATACCTCATCATGGCAAAGACAGTCTTGTCATAGGTGTTGGAGATAGTTTTAGGAGCATAGAGAGATATATCCACTTTCATAACTTTCAAGATGTAAGAGATTAGTAAACCATAGGGCAAGCTGTTTGCAGAAGATGAAATATCCCTAATACTTTCAAGCATGTACTGACGTACCTAGGCAAACCAGTTGATAGCTTTACCATTTACCAAACAATATAGAACAAATACGAGAGACAGAGTGCCCAGTGAACCAATACAGGGTAGCAAAATGGTCGCAATAATGTGGGCTAGAACACAATGTTCAAATTTCAAATTCTTTAGTCCTATATGAGAGGGGCTTTCAGACAACACACTCTTGGCTTCCTCAAATGACACTTCAAAATTATTTGGCCAGGAATGTTGCACAAAAAAGATGTACCCAACAAACTGTGCAAAGATTTTCTCAAACTGATAAGAGTCAAGAATAATACGAGTTCCTAAGACCATGGATTCTAGATTATCTTTATCATTCACAAACAGATTTGCATAAAACATACGCACAGGCTCTTCATAGACAGTATCACTAATACTAGTAAATAGAGAGACAAGCTTTTGAGCTTCAAAAACAGACATAACATCACAGTGAGAGTTTTGCATAGACTTTAAACATACAGTGCGGCCAAAAGCAATCGACTTTCCTTTGAAGGCAACAAACCTAGCCTAGGGCTATAGAAGTTCATCTTGTCTTCGGGACCAAACTCTACACTTTTAGTTTTTCCCTTTTTCGGAGAAGAATGTTTTGGGATTGACTCATTTGGTTGTTTTTCTGCCCTCTTTTGGGAGATGAGGATGTTTTCTTGATAGTCACTCGAATCTTCTTCGGTCAATAGATGATCTGTGCTTTCTAAGGATTCTATATCAACATGGTCATCTTTGGTTTTCTTGAGGTGATGGCTTCTTCTGGGTGTGGAGGAAAAGGGAGAGGGTTTGGCTTTGGCCATGAGTAGAAGAAAACAGAGAGATAGGAATTTAGTTTCTTTGAGATAATGGGAGATATGATCGAGGGAAAAGGGGTTAAAAAGGATCAGAGAGGTTGCGTCGATTCTCAGAGAGACATGTGAAGGACAACTAAAAAGTTGCCTTCTGCAAGCCCGCCGTCGTTTCACAATAAATGCATGTACAGACTAATCAAGTACTTAAAAGATTTTGGGGGCGAAAATCACGAGAAAATATATGGTAAAAAAATAAACTTAGAAAATTAAGGAAAACATTAAACACGGTTATGCGGGAATTGTACAAATACCAATTTTGTTACGAAGGAAACAAAATCTTTCTTCAAGTAAAGGTTTTGTAAAAATATTCGCTAACTGATTTTTAGTATTAAAAAATTCTAATACAATATCTCCGTCACGCCCCGACCTTAGGAGGCGTGGCTGGCACCCGGTGCCACACTGGCCCGAGCAAACCACTCTGAAACTCATTCATTCCCTTTGTAACTATCATGTGGCAACATAGCCACAACTCGTAATGTACAATTGTAAGTGAATAATATTGTATTTCTGAATCATTTTTTTCTTAAAACATAAATACATATGGGCCATCAAGGCCTCTGATATACTATACAAAGTGAACCTATGTCTACAAAGTCTATAAGATTATTTGACATCAAATGGGACAGGGTACCGGCCTACCCATAAGTCTGTAGCAAAACTCTGACACGATAACTCATAGACTCGACTGCACCCCGAATGAGGTGGAGTCTTACTGATCATTCGTTGAATGCCTATCTCGTCTACTATGAGGGCTCGTCAAACTGATTGTCTATACATGCAGGTATGAATGCAGCGTCCCTAGGCAAAAGGGACGTCAGTACGAATAATGTACCGAGTATGTAAGGCACATAAATAAGTACATAAAAGACATGGAAGAAATATAGAGTAAATGACTCAACCTGTAAGTCTGGATAACTCTGTAATTCATGAAATACTTATAGTNAAGAATCATCATCGTATACCAGCTGATCAGGTGGTGGTGCGTATATAACGTCATAACCTTTCCCGTATCTCATATACATATATATACATACATATATACGCGTATATAACGTCGTTTGAATCATATTTCAGCCACTGTGGGCAACATCATCATCATCATCATCATATACCAGCTGATCAGGTGGTGGTGCGTATATAACGCCGTAACCTTTTCCTATATCCCATATACATATACATACATATATACGCGTATATAACGTCATCTGGTCATGGGTCAATGCACATGAATGCAATGCTTGAAAAGTACGTTAATAAAATCTTTCCGAGCTTTATAAGACCATTTTGCCTTTGAGTAATATCATAAAGTAAACTCTTTTCAACTTTCATATTTTTTTCTGAGACCCATGAACAGATGATAAAATATTACGACACACGGAAATTCAAGAACATAGATGTCTCTAATACTTCTATGAATAGAATCATTCATGGAATTTGTGCATTTGCATATTTCGTTCGTATCGTATGGATCATGCCAAAAGAAGGAAGGGAGGAATATCGACATCGCGTTCCATGGTCCGTCACAAGGTTGTAATATTCTGCTTATACGACTTTCAAGAATGCAAATAAGTTAAACTATTCGATCTTTTACATTTCGATCTAACATTTTTCTAAATATTAAACCAGCTTTGTAATTGTTATTATGATATGATTCTCCACTACTAATAACATGATACACAAATCAAATTAACGTCTTAACTTCCATTTCCAATCAAATGGTAAATGGAACAGAAGCAATACTCAATAGCAACCAGCTAAGGAATGAGTTAATTTACAACCTCTAGACTTAAGTTCACCTTCTTTGTCTTTATCCACAACCAAGTTTTGTCAATCAGATCATCACAATAGTACTTCTTGCGCTGTTATTCCTAAGGTGTTGAGTGATTACTAAACTTAGCTATGCTTTGGACAAGTCCAGAACACTAATACTGACCGAATTACTCCACAAATGCAAGATAATTTCTAAGGAAAAATGACTAGCAATCACCGAACAAGTTTAATAAAGGTGAAATAACCTCCCTACCTGTCATTTACGAAGATGCTTTGCGTAGAAGAAATAAGAAAGAGAAGAGAGTTGTTGCTCCATCTTTCTGAACACCCTTTCGTATATCTACTTCTCTGAAATAGATCGTATGAACAGAACCCCAAAATCACGTAGCATATGTGCCAAAAAGGAAAATGCTTAACAAGCAGTATTGGACCACAATCGAGAGCCTAAAGTGGAACGAGGGAAATATCATGTGTCTTGTATTCAAGATATCAAAATGAAGTGTTATGTAATTCTTGCCACCTACTCAACAAGATTTGTGAGTCATTTAGTTAATCATATAGGGCTGCCACGTGGGTGTAGGGAGGGGAATTTTAATCTTTGTTCTAACTTATTAGTTAATTAGGTAATATCTCGTTACACGATAATTAATCAATTACTCACATAATTAAGAATTATCCCAAATTACTTAAAATACTACTCACCTTTAATACATATTATACACTTCACTATCATGGTTATGTGATATCATATAAAATAAATACATACACTATTGTTTCATTAAAACCTCCATGTTAAAAAAAACACATATTTTCTTAACTTTTATTTTCCTAATCTCATATAAAGAGTACAAATTTTTATATGCTTAATTCTTAAAATGGTAAGAAAATAAACTCCTTTTCTTGTGAGAAAATAATTTCTATCTTTACAATAACAAAAAAATCTTATAAACTTTCTCAAATACCATTATAAAAAGGTTAGTTACTAATAAAGTAAAATAAAAATCGCTCTAGCTTATGGTTCTCACAAACCCATAATAGATGCAAAGAGAACGACTTATCCCTCGAGTAAAATGCAAAATTCTAAATTAAAAAACACCATTTGGATACAAAGTGAGATCCAATAACAACCACATTAAGCCCACTTACCATACCAGCGACGTATTCTAGAAGATATTGGAGGATAGAGAAAAGGACACACATGTAGTGGTTGCATAGTTTCATGATATGCATCTAATGTGTTACACCATAATAGTTAGATCACACATAAGAAGCTCCAACATAAAAAATCAGATCCAAGCACCAGTTTATTACATCCGTTTTCCAGATAAAAGTTTTTCCTATAATAACATATCATTATCTAGTTAATTCATGAAAAATTCATGATCAAATGTATATAACGGTGTCAATATTGTTAAAATCACGGGATGTAACAATCTCCTTTAGCAACATGTTCACGTATAAAATGATGCTTAATCTCAATATGCTTAGCCCTAGAATGATGCACAAAGTTTTTTAATAGACAAATAACACTCATATTATCACACATAATAAGAACACAGTTAAGACATAAATCATAATCTAATACTTGATGCATAATCCATAGTATTTGTGTGCAGCAGTTGCCTACTGCCAAATATTCCGCTTCAGTGGTAGATAGAGCTACACAATTTTGTTTCTTGTTGTGCCAGGATATAAGAGATTTTCCAAGTAATTGGCACGTTTCACTTGTGCTTTTTCTATCAATTTTATCTCCTGCAAAAACTGCATCGGAAAAGCCTTTGAGATCAAAATTTTCTTAACTTTCATACCATAAACAATAGTCGACTGTCCCTATCAAATATCTGATAATACATTTAACAATAATCAAGTGAGATTCTTTAGGAGCTGACTGGTATCTTGCACATTTGCAAACGCTGAACATAATATCTGGTCGATTAAATGTAAGATAGAGTAGGGAGCCAATCATACTTTGATATATTATTTCATCAATGCTCTTACCGTCTTTGTCTTCATCCAAGGTAGTTGATGGACTCATAGGTGTTCTATGGCTTTTGCATTAGACATGCCAAACTTTTTGATGAGTTCTTTTGTGTATTTTGTTTAACTAATGAAGATCCATTTTGTACTTGCTTGATTTGAAGCCCAAGGAAGAAAGTTAGTTCCCTATCATACTCATTTCAAATTTTCCTTTCATGATGTTTGAAAAGTCCTTGCACAAAACAGGGTTAGTACTGTCAAAAATAATATCATCTACGTAGATTTGTACAATTAAATTACCTAAAGATGATCCATTGATAAAAAAAGTAGTATCAATATTACCTCTGTCGAATCCATGTTCGACCAAAAATGAGCTCAGCTTTTATACCAAGCTCTAGGAGCTTGCTTTAGGTCTTACAATGCTTTGGACAATTTGTAGACATGATTTGGAAATGATTCATTTACAAATCCTGGAAACAGGGGCGAAGGTCTCCTCTTAATCAATTCCCCCTTGTTGTGAATAACCTTGTGCGACTAGTCTAGCTTTATTTCGCACGACTTGTCCAGATTCATTCAACTTATTTTTGTATACCCATTTTGTTCCAACAATGGATGCATTTGGTGGTTTAGGAATGAGTTCCCATACCTTATTTTTCTCAAATTGATCAAGCTCTTCCTTCATTGCAGCTATCCAGCTTTTGTCCCCAAGTGCCTCATCCACCTTTTTTGGTTTGAACTGGGATATGAGAGTAGCATTCGATGTTTGCTTTAGAGATATTCTTGTTTTCATTATCCTGAGGATCTCCAATGATGTACTTATGTGGATATCCAGGCTCACTTTTCCATTTATTTGGGACAACTAATGCTAGCTACTTTTCAACAGAATTTGTTGGATCAGCCGTAGAAGATCCCTGATTTTCTGTAGGACTATTAGTCGACTGATCTTGCTGATTAGCCATTTCATCATGAGTGTTTTCACCTGTATTGATAGACTTTGGAACTATGGAAATTTTCTCATCTTGAGGAAGTTGTTCATTCTTTAAGCAAGGGTTAGTATCCACAAAAACAACATGTATAGATTCTTCAATAAATAAAGTACGCTTGTTAAAAACTCTATATACTCTACTAGAGGGAGAGTATCCAAGAAAAATACCTTCATTGCTTTTGGGATCAAACTTACTAAGATTGTCTTTTCTATTTTTGTGTATAAAGCATTTGCAGCCAAAAGGATGAAAATAACTGATGTTGGGTCTTTTCCTTCCATAGTTCATATGGAGTCTTCTTGAGAATATGTCGAATTAGGAATTTGTTGATGATATGATATGTTGTGCTTACAGCTTCTGCCCAGAAGTGGTGTGGAAGAGAATTTTCCACAATTATGATTCTTGCTATATCTTTCAAAGTTCTATTTTTACTTTCTGCTATTCCATTTTGTTGTGGCGATCTTGGAGAAGAAAAATTGTGAGAGATCCCTTGATGATTGCAGAAATTCTCAAATGTTTTACTTTCAAATTTTTCTCCATGATCACTTCTTATGAAGGATATGTAGTAACTTTTTTCCTGCTACACCTTCTTGCAAAAGACTTCAAACTTCCTTAATGCCTCATCCTTATGACTTAGAAAGATAACTCAGGTGAATTGAGAAAAATTATCAACCCAGGTGAATTGAGAAAAATTATCTACTATAATGAATACATACTTTCTACTACCTATGCTAGCAGTTCTAGTAGGACCAAAAAGATCCATATGCAGGAGTTTAAGAGGCTTTGTAGTAGAAATAATATTTTTGACTTTAAAAGAGGACCTGGTTTGTTTTTCCGGTTAACATGCATCACAAATTTGATCTTTTGAAAAATTTGGTTTTGGAAGACCAATGACAAGATCATTTTTGGAAAGTTTATGAATAGTATGCACGCTGGCATGACCAAGTTTTCTATGCCATACCCAAGGATCATCAATCATAAAAGCTAGATAGATTTGATTACCAAAACTATATAAGTTACTGATAGTATAGACATTTCTGTCCCTATTTCCAGAGAGAATATCTTTGCCTGATTCATCTTCAATAAACCAACCATATTTTTTAAATGAACCTCGTAGTAATTGTTACATAGTTGACTGATACTGAGAAGATTGTAACCAAGTTCATCAACCAGGTATACTTCGTCTACATCACATGTTGAGCTGAGAGGAACTCTTCCAACTCCAATTACATTTCCTTTTGATTTATCTCCAAAAGTGATTGTTCCTCCATCTAGTTTGGTGACCGTTTTGAATAATTTTTTGTCACCAGTCATATATCTGGAACACGCGCTGTCAAGGTACCATTTTCCTTTTCGATTCTTTTTGCAGTGTTCATGCAAAAAAAGAATTACTTGTTTTTAGGTACCCAAACCTACTTGGGTCCTGAATGGTTAGAGCTCTGAGTATTAACTTGACTAGAAGACTTAGGTCACTAGGCCCATCTCCTGTTATTCTTGAACCTGCAATGGTTAGAAGTGTGACCAAGTTTTGCGCAATAAAAACAAGAGGGGTTTTTGGGATTTTCAGAGTCTTTTCCTCCTCTGATTCTAATCCTGCATTGGTTAGTGTTGTGACCATTTTTGCCACAATAAGTACATGCAGTAAAGTTTCTAATTCTAGTAGAATATGTATGAGGAGTAGTCTGATTTGATCTAATAGAACTATTACTGGTGGATTTTCGCAATCCATTCAGTTGAAGTTGAAGTTCATTAACTTCATCCTGAAACATATCTCACTCAATTTCACATACTTCCAACTTTAAAGCCAGTCTTTCTTTTCTCTTTTGATTTTTCTAAGTTCATTTAGAACTCTCTCAATATCTGTAAGAGCAATATCAATAAATTCTTGGAGCTCATAATAATTAGGACATGTAGGAAGACGTACCTCACTAGTTCCTTCGTCTACCATAAGACCAAGTTCACCTGAGTCCTTTTCCTCACCTGGTCCTTCGTCTGCCCAGTGTTTTTGAGAGCGAGAAGCACAAAAATAGATAGGGGCTCGCCTCGCTTCAAAATCAAAGCGCACGCTTCATTGAAGTGAAGCGCAATTCTTAAAAAATATAATGTAAACCTTGCAAAGACACAATATAAATAATCAAAAAGTTCAATTTAAAAACTTAAAAGTAGGTACCACAAAATCCTCCACAAACCATAGAACAAGCAAAATCAAAGCTACTAAATTACTAGAATCAACATCTTATTCTTCTACTTTTCTTGTTCTTCTTCAAGATTGTCAAAATCTTGAATTCCTCTATTATCTTCATATTGCTCGTTATCTTTTTCTTCGCCCTCCTCTTCCTCTTCATGATCACTTCCATCTTTATCAATTAGGGATAGGAATCGACTTGTAGTAGCCACACTTTTTTCCTTCTTAATAAAGCTTGAACTTGAAGTATTCCCCCTTAAACCATAAGGTATCTCCCCAACTCCACTAGCATCCGCAACATCACCCCAAGTGAAATTAGATTCGCC